TGGGTTTAAATGCCAAGCTGGGAACTACGCTTAACTTAATCTGAATAACTATTTAGTTAGACGCAAACGTTTGCCAACAAACTCATAACACTCTGCTTTCGGTTAAGAAAAATCTCGGAAAACCCCGAGATTAAAATTACTATACAAACTAAGGTGAGTGCAGTTACTAATGTGGCATTTCAGGTCAATCTTTTCCACTCAGTTATCAAACGTAAGCATCTTTGTTGTCTCAAAAATTATTTATTTCTCAAAAAATTTACTTAGCGTGTAAAACAGATTTTCACTACTACTATAAGTGTTGTCATTCTTTATTTATTTAGTGAGAAAAGCTGAGTATGATTGACACTGGATTGCGTTACACCCAAATGTATAATTTTCAGGTTGATTTAATCAAGAGTGAAGCCGGAAAATTCCTTTTTTACACTTACCAACCTATCTCTCGTTTACACTTTATGAGTCGTTACCGGACTAATTTTTCCCCTTTCTCAGCCTATAGGAACAATATCAACCAGTTTAGGAAGTGATGAAAAATGATGGGAGTGGAAGGAGAAAAAGGTAAATTATATACTTAATAAGTTATGAAAACACCCTGGGTTAGTTGTATCAACAAGTTAGCGTATACTATGACTATCCACTCCCTCCTAACCTTCATTTATTACAAAAGATAATTTAATGCGTGAATGGTAGCAGTAGTAGTTATTGTTCCTGTTGTTATTTAATTTGCTCACCGAAACTTAACTTTTATTGAAGGTGTATATTTGGTGTATGAAATGTCAAATGGATTTCTCAAACTGGCAGTGAATTTTGAAAGAAGAAAATCAGAACAACAGCTAACCGTAAATGAAATATGCGTATCTTTCAAATAAATGATACTCCCCTACTGAGTTTTGATAGCTACAACCGTGTAGAGACTTTCTATTGCAGACCAACAGCATTACGAAAAAGACAACAAATAATGAAAGCCTATCACTGTTCACCATCACCTCAGTTTGATTCAGTACATTCTGATTTCTAAGAAATTATATTAGCTATTGTATAGTAATATTGTCTTCATCAGGTCTAATTTTTCCAGCAAGAACCCCTGTAAAGTTCAGTGTGTCCACTATTGACGAAATCTAAACCAGGATGTGACAAGAGAATAATGTTGCATGGAATCACTGGACAATGCACATTTGAACGATAAAATATTTTGTACATAAGTATTTTTATTTTAAAACTGAATTCCAAAATGCTGTAGTTTTGAAAGTGTAAGCACAAACATCAGACAATTACAAAAATTTGGAAACGAATATCCGCATTACAATCTGAAGTTTTTTAATGATCCTCCTTGAAAATATGAATTCAGATCAATATTTTTGTAAGAGGATGATGCTGATAAAAGTGTTTAATTTTATTGATCAAATAATCATGCTAACGACATTATGATACTATGAGTATACTATAGTTGTAACTGATTTCAGAATAAGTGACTAATAAAACTCTTTTGTAATACCACTGAAGATGTCCCAAGTTTATTTTGAACTGATTTCAGTGTTACCTGGTTAACAATGGAATTTCAGACAAATATACTGTTCATAACTAGTTTCGAACTATAGTCAACAAGTAACTAACTCATTGCTGGTGAGATCTGTTTTCAGTTTAACTCTCTTCACTACTGTATATTAGAACAGGAAGCTGATGAAGAATTCTTCATGAAATATTTATTATTCTCGTATGGGATTTATCTAAAAACAGACTAAATTTCCTTTCCCTTTTGAGATTTGAATTTACACTGCTAAGCTCTCAGTGAAGAAATTAAAATTTTCAAAAGTACTTAGCTAAAGCGTAAATGAAAACATCCCACAGCTAGCCACTTTTATATGTGTATATCAATTCATCTGGCCTTTGGAGCTGCGTATAACGGTCATTCGACACGGGTCTTGTCTAAAAGGGTTCACTACTCTGCGTGGCTACAAAGAGGTAAGAGTAGATCTATAAGATGTGTGATAATGGAACACCTAGTAGACACTAGTCACTGAATTTCAACAACAACCTCTTCCAAAGTTATTTAAAAAGTGAAAACAAACTTGTCAAGGTCAGTGTGCATCTATTTACATTCTAATACTGATGTTTTAGCAATCCAAATGGAAAAACTGAAGCTTTGGATAAAAAGGAGGCCCATTCGACCTTTACTGCTTACATGACCTTAATCTTTGGCATTTCTAAGTGTCTTGCTTCCTTTTAACTCTTTCTTTCAATCCACATTATCAACCATTCCTTGTTTATATACTCACCCTGATAACAGTCCATTCATTCAATATTTTGTCATGTTACAAACATCTTGAACGATACTGACCGATCTTACCAAGCCTGTACTTTATGTTATAACAATTAAACTTTACTTGTTACTGTGACCTTTGATTACTTTTCAGTATTCAGAAACATTTTGACTATTTTGGGATGAAAGTCATATTTTCATCGTATATATATATATATATATATATATATATATATATATATATATCACCTTATTGCCATGCCTAGCAAACCGCTCCCACACATGAAACAAATTATACATTCCCCGAAAACAGTCTCCTTGCTGAACCATTTGTTTCTCATTTTCTTACGTCCTTATGCGGGATTTTTTGAGATTTGAAAAAATAATAAAAGCTTATGATTTCCAAAGATCGTGATTCTCTGTTTTAAAAATTATATTAAGTCTTTGAAATAACCTCCTAAATGTTATTGCATTGAAGCTTTCCAGTATTAAGGTATTTTACGCAATATTTACATTCCACAAATGAACCGATTGACTTCAAAAGCAAATGAAGCATGTCTAGAAATATTTATTATTCGATAGAAATTGACTGTACAGAAAATAGTTTTATAATGAACTAAGATAATTTGGAGTTTACTAAAGATTTTCAGCCACTTACCTATATGAGTTCAAATAATAAAAAGCTGGTTACTTAACATTGCATTTCTGTCACGTTTAAAAAGCCCACTATACACCTTTATGGTTGTATCCATATCATAAGATTTATGGGCTTTTGATAAACTTTTGAAGAATGCATATTTATGACACTAATTCACTTTTATATTATGGTCTCCGTCTTTTCACCTTACGGCAACCAGCTTAAATCTTGGGAGACTAAAATTTTTCACCTAACAGATACATCAAATTCTCTCTTTTCAATTTGTTTGAATCATTTAATTATGTCCCTATGAACGTATCATTTACCCTTAGACATTTTTAAAATTTATTCAAATAGTCGTTTCTCAAGTTGATAACAAAACGAAGAAAATAATGTCACGTTACGAGGAAATGAACTTTTCAATGCATAAAAATACGTCATATTTGTATTCTTTGCAATTATTTAGCTTGAACAGCAGATTCTTGTACTGGTTGAATGGACAAATAACATCAAACTTGTGCTCACGTTTCGGTTCATTCTCCATTCTAGTTTGCATGCTAATCTCAAACACTAGCTGGCTGCTTCACATTATTGCCTTTAGTTCTGTAACTAATAGCATCAATCAGATGCAATAATTATTTCATTTGAAAGTATCTTTCGGGAAGTGATATTGCTGAAATACTTTATACTGACAATTTCATACTGTATGATACATATTGTTTACAATAAAGCGATTATTATTATTATCTTTATTACTATTATATCTGCTTTTAAAAATCATTGCTAATTTTTTCAAAAATGAGTCGCAATAACCAAGGTATTTGTTGAAACACTGATAAGTATAGCTAAAACTAGACTAACAGTTAACCAATCAGGTCTTCTTTATGCAAACACTCCTCACTTCCAGCTCACGAGTAACGCTAAAGGACATCTTAACGACTAATGAAGTAGCCAATTAAACTTCTTAGTTTGGAAAAGCCTGGATTATTGAATTCCTCTGCTGGTCACCAAGATCAATATAGCATCATGAATGTCCGGAATTATCGAGACATCGTTAACGGAGCCCATCTGCTAATAGAGGTCGAGCGACTCGGCCCTATGTAGCGACAGCAATTTACAAGTATCATTACAACAACTGATACCCATTTGCACAAGAGGTGGCTATCATGCCCCAGTGGCTTAGTGGATAAAGTTCTGTCGTTTGAAGCGAAAGGTACTGAATTCGAGCCTCAGTGGGAACAACATCACTCCCTTTGTAGCAGATGAATCAGGCTGACGAGTCCCAAATAGGAGAAAACGCGGATCCTAGATTCCACTGCTGGTCACCAACATCAATACAGCTTTAACCTTCCAGTCTTAATAGTGAAATCTTATTGGCTATTTGTATAGGTCAGGTCATTCGAGATGACCTGCTTTGCTCTTCATTTGTTCTGTTCGACATGTACTTTAAATATCATCAAATCACTCAGTATATTCTCCATGTCAAAACCGTTTGATAGGCTTTCCATCTGCCTTGAATATGTCTTCCTTCTTATATGACTGTTGTACCAAAGATGTTATTCATATAGTTTAGAATTCGACAAAATTTTCAAACCTTAATGGTCAGCACAGGATTCCGTATGCCAATTGAGACCGATCAGTTCGGTCTAATCAACGACAGTATGATATAATAAAACAAAATTGTACCCATTGCATAAGAATTGGTTGGCGTGGCTTGGTGGTGTAATGGATAACGCTCTGGCGTTTGAAGCGATCGCTCCTGAGTCCAAATCCCGGTGGGGACAACATCACTCACCGGGAAGCAGGTACTTCCAGCTGACGAGTCCCAATTAAGACGAAATGCGCATCCCGGATTCCACTGCTAGCCACTATCCATCAGTACTTAGTGGTCTGTACTTCATATATAATTAGGCTGGAACCTTGTCGAATCGGTATTACTCTCAGGTGATAAAGATACCTGAAGGTAAGAATCATTTTTATGGTGGTCAACTGTGTAAACTTTGTTGACTTTTGATACAGTGTATTCCGAAATATCAACAAGGCATTGAATAAATGATTACTTGTAGATTATTTCAGTCAATGTACACCACATTCAATTTTGCTTACTTCTTGAACTCGATGCTCCAATTTGTTAAGTAAGCTTCTTAGTTCATCACGTTCTTGTCGAAGTTTAGTCAATTCCATATAATCATCTCGAGTCTAGAACAGTGTACAATAAAACAGAAAGAAATTAAAATAGAGGAAGAGGGTTTACTGTTTTATCAAGTAATCTTGATCAAATACGAGACGAAATCGCAAAAGAATGGGGGGAATGTAGATAAATGATCTCACAGGGAAGTTAGAATTGAGACAAATATAATTTTACGGAACTAGTTTTTCAAATACACCAAAAGTGGTCTTAGGTACCTCGTTATCATGTGTGATGATTTTATACAGTAATACCTACGGTTATAGATCATTCTCTCAAGTTCAGTCACCTTCATATAATCCCTTTATCGCTATTTACCTTAGTGAATGTCACATCTGTGATCAGTTGATCAGTGGCCACAATTACGGACATTGAAACCAACGGCCGGAGATTAGCTTGTGACCCCGGACTGTCTTCCAACCATTTCTGAATGGCTCTAAGGGAGCCCAGCAAATGTAGAAATAACCAATTGGGTTTCATAAGATATAGAAGTTTGATTGGTTATCTCAGCAGTTGCTAGGATGGTCTTTGGAGTCACTGTCATTCGTATTTACAACAGCTTGATCAAGGGATGACTTCAAAGACCACCCTGACAACTAATGAAATAACCAATAAGGGTCCTGTGTTCCATGAAAAAACTCCTTTCCAGACGAAATAATGAAAGCTAATTGATTGTTTCAGTCGTTGCTACGTTGGCGTTTGCAGCCTCTCGTTATCAGGCTACCAACGCATCTGGATATGCCCAAAACAGATGAATTATTAGATTTGTGACCTCAGCCCACTGGGCAGCATGGGTTCGGGACATCACTTCCCTTGAGGTTGCGGATATGCCTTACTAACGAAGCCTAGATTGAGTAGGGCCTCCTACCGATTGCCTGGAACCAACTAACAGACTGACTTCATGTATTGACCACTAATTAACCTCATGATTAAAGAATCAGAAATATCATACAATGTTTCCCTCTCACGAATTTGATCAAAGTAAGAAGAACAAATGTAACCGAATTAGCATGGGTGTATTTCGAGAACTGTCCTCAACTGCTTTACAACCAACAGAATATAATGTTCACCATGAAAACCCGCATACAGTGATCAGAATGTTTTGATTAAGATGGAAGGTTCAAAGGATTTAGACTGGCCTAAATTGGTTAAATTTGGTGAATTTGTTAAGACTAGTCAATAAGAGTGACTTTAAAGACCACCCTAGCAACAACTGAAACAACCAATCAGATCTCTCTATTTTATCAAAATTCGCCTTTCCAGACAAAATGAAGAAACTTAACTGGTTATTTCAGTAGTTGTTAGGGTGCCCTATAAAGTCGCCCCTCAACGATTACGCTCAGTTATACAGTGATAGAATGGACACTCTGGAGAAGAAAGGAAAAAATGTGGAGGGGTGTACACAGTGTCACTCTAGAAGTGACGAACACTACCTAAGCAAAAATGATTACCCACAAAAGTACTTTCATAAGTACGGTAGGATAGAAAGAGTAAGGAACCAAGTTTAGTACACCAGATAAAAAGGCTTGTCTTTCTATATATTTCTTGCATGGGCGACTTTAAAGGCTACCCTAGCGACGATCGAAATAACCAATCAGATTTCTTCATTTCGGCCTGAAAGACAGTCGTGCTTTTCATTGGTAATTTTAATCGCCTTAATTTGTAACTACAAAACTACATGACCTCATAACCGTCTATTATACTTCACTTTTCTCTTTCTATCTCAAAACCATGTTGTGCTCATCCTGTCCCTCAATATGATGAAAATCTGTTGAACTTTGATGCCGTTTTTACCAATTTGAGAATATCACCACTTAAGACATCCTACCAGTTCCTATTATCTCTAGAATGTTCATTCTATCATTGTATAACTCTGAGTATAACCTTTGAGTAGCCTTAATAACTTCATCAAATTTAATCAACCTCGGTGAGCCTAAATCCTTTTAACCTTTCATCATGAACATTACATTCCATAGGTTGTAAAGCAGGTGAGGACAGTCCGTGAAACACATGAACACTGATTCTGCTACTTTTGTTCTTCTTGTTTATTCAGAATCGGTAGTCCATAATATGTGTACACACTATGCGTACTGAATACTACTTGGACGTGATACGATATGATATGACTTTGTTACTAGGCATTTACATCAGTCGTTCTTTGCTTGTCTCATGTAGGAGCTGTTGCTTGCAATCTAAACAGACCTAGAGACCAATTACTAATGCGATGTAGTTGTTAGATATCCACGAATGCAAGACCAACAGAGAACATAATTTGGTAGCCAAACAATCCTATACTTGTCATGTTTTACCAATGTACAGAGATGCGTAAGACGACTGGTTGGGGGATTACGGAAGAGCTACGCAACGTAGAGGGACAACTTGTGGAATGGCGTCTATGCTGGGCTGTGTATCTTCAGAAAGACACCTTCGTTAAAACTATGATGTTGAATACCGCTGGACCTCAGACTGCAAGAATTGACTTACTTGTTGCCGTTACCGGGGTAGCTATAAAATGCTACTCTTTAAAATCGTTACCGTTGACTGTTCTAAAATAGGGTCGATCTCTCCCTTAAGGACACCAATGCATTTAAATGACTCATAGCCTTCTATCTACTTGACATAACATGAAATGAAATTTTTCCATAAGTATGAGAAATGTACTTTAGTACAGAGTGTTATTTTGTGCACATTATCTAGTTTGTTTAGTAGTATTATAGATATTAATCAATAATTTCAAATTGATTTAGTGTCATGGGTTACGTAAGTGGCACAAAATCTTTTCTACCCCTTGAAAAGTCATATGTTTAGATATGACTGACTATTGTTTATCGGATTGGTTAAAAAGTCGTATATTGTGCTATTTCATATTGATCCCCGTAGCCATCCAACTGATCAGAAATAAAAAATTTCAAGGTCATTAGCACAAATGCGCTGTCTGAAACAAGACCATAATTATAAAATACGCAATACTATTCTGCTCGCGAAATATGTATTTTAGTAAACAGAGGATTTATTTTTAGATAAACGCTTGTTTTTAAGGTAGTATTCACCGTGGACTGACATCATTTGGATAGCTGGTGAAAACCTAGGAGACTGCTGAGGAGGCCATAACCGGGACGAAACAGCTGTCCAGTGGTCCCAGGTTTTCAGTGGTTCTCCAGCTGATGTCAGTCCATGATGAATACTACCTCAAAATTAAAATCCTTATTCCTATCAAAAATATTTGTTTACCTGAAATCTGTTCAGTGATCTTGATCTAGTGACTGGTGAAGGACTTCTGTGACGAGTACGTGTTACACTGTCTAACTCTTGTCGAAGTAGATCTCTTTCTGCTCGTAACTCTTGGACCTGTTGCTCAAGCTGGTTGTACAAAAGGTATAATAAAGAAGAGAGTATCTTTAATGTTCAACAGTTTAACATATGGCAAAGTATCTAAATAAAAATGTGTTACAGACAAGGAACATCTTTTCACACCATCAGCTAGTTTACTGAGGCCTGAATACTAACCACCTTAAATGAAAATGAAAAAAATATTGCTAGTGTGATATCTAATGCAGGAAAGAGTTTTCTTTTCCGACGCTAATTCAGATTTCTCATAGGACTACTACTTTTACATTGATTGGTCACCGAAGAGCGAAATATTTCATGTTGTCTAGTCTTCAGAGACTACCTAATTCTGTCGATCATTTCGCAACGTGGTCACCAAGTCGGGAGGCTGAGAATCGCGGAAGATGTAGCTTCTCTGACTGCGATACTAAGTGATACGGGTTTGGATCACAAAGGAGACATCAGTTCCCTCCAGAATGCAGATAGACCTTGCTAACGAATGCAGACAAGAAACGTAGGTCGAGCAGCCCATCCTACCACTTGTCTCCAACCAACTAACTATTACTTCTGATGCCAAATATTTTACAAACAATGCGAAACTAATGGCCTCCAGAAACGAATCAGAGTAAGGTGTGTGAACAATAAATATAACCATTTAGCGAGTTCAATATTTGCTGAACTAGTAATGTATTTTTGAGATGAATGGGGATTTTTAATTTAGAAGTAGCATTCATTATGGACTGAAATCGTTCGGGGAATCATTGGAAATCCGGGAACACCGGACAGCTGTTTCGTCCTAGTGTGGGACACCTCAGCAGTACGCACCCACGACCCGGCTGGGGGTCGAACTCAGGACCTTCAGGTTTCGTGGAGAACACGCTAACCATCCAGCCACTGGGTTGGTTGCCAGTGGTTCACAATTTCCAACTTCTGTCAATTCACGATATAGCGTGACTATCATCCAAGGTCTTCAGTTAGCATCCGCTTCACTTCCCACTGGCTGGTCCCACAGATTACGACTGCTCATTAGAGTTATGTGACGTCTATCTGGGTCGTGGGTGCGTACTGCTGAGGAGTCACATACTAGGACGAAACAGCTGTCCAGTGTCCCCAGATTTTCAATGGTTCCCCAACTGATGTCAGTCCATGATGAATACTACTTGCGGGTTTTTAATGTGTTAAAGAATATCAGGTGACCTTATCTGCTTAACACCTACGCTTACCATATGCTGTAGAAGCCTCTGCAACCCATATTTTTAATATGAAGTATGCTAATATATATGCATTCGCAATACACTATTTCCTTCTAAAAAAAGAAACTGTTTCTTTCATTTAACAAAACATCTACACACACTCGATCGAACTGATGTATCTATCTAAGTAGACCAAAAAATATACGCAAACTGCCACGCATAAAACATTTTAGTATAAAAATGATTGGTTAACACCCAAATGAGGAGTACACACTACCAAAAAATGTTTTTCATTTTAGTCCAGTAAGTCTATGTGACCAAATAAAAAACCGCAGTGTGATAACGAATATTGATTTTATTCCTCATTCACTGCTAAACGATCAAATCCTTAAGTAAACAGCTGATTCTACAGGCCACAAGCTGTACAATAGGAATATCGGTTTATTTAGTGTGCACTTGTCTGATTACTTGTTCCTGTGCAGCAACTTCTACCATCCTTATATAGAGCAAAATATGTAAGCATATCTCAGGGCACTGTCAAACTCAGTTAGTCAGAGGAAATAGCCAGAATGTTGCCAGCCACATTCTCAAAGAACTTTTCATCTTTAAATTTCCAGCCTCGACTAGCTGTTCATACTCAGTAATTTGAAGAATATTTTGATATCAGACTACAAAACTTCACCTACGTCAGTTACGACCGATAATCCTAAACCTCACCTCTAAAATAAAAATATTTTTTCTAATATTCATTATACCTAGCATTGAAGAAATTATGCTAAGAATATGATTGTGTCTAACTTCCGCGGTTTTCGAATTCCAATGCCAAATATACATACAAACAAGAGTAGCACTGGGATTTATAATAATTCACGATCATTGCAAACGCATTTATGGATAATTGGGAACAGATGGTATCAGGAACGTTCCAACCCAACCCACCACAAAAGTACGTGGGCGACGTATAGGTGACATATTTACTGTGTTGAAATCAGAACACATCCAGTTTTTTCACACACTCACACACTACTTCGATAGTACATATGGTCCAATTCGCTTATGAATAAGAAAATGAAGAAGGTGAATTACCTGTGTTGGATTGCAAATTCTGGAGGAGATGAAATCTTAGATATTAGTGTTTATACCAAACAAACACATGTGAATGTATACTTGGATTTCACATCGTCTCACCCTAAATTCCTGAGTAATCTAGCTAGGAGTTTGACAAGATAGTTAGAACATCTGAATAAGGAACTGAAACACATGAAAAAGACAACTACTTAACAACTACCCTCTAGAACTTATCAAAACGTCTGTCACGACTGATAAGAGAAGGAGTGGTAATGTCACTGGTGGTTTTAACATACCTAAGACGGAATTCAAATCTTCTGTGGTTTTGCCATATAAAGAACGCACTTCAGAAATTTTACATCGAATTCCTGATGTTGCTGTAATTAGGATGGGATTTAAACTCAGTAACTCTCTTATATAGAAACGCTGTAGGCTAACAGATCTAATTTAGCCAATTAAGAAAAATAACCCAACCTATAAAGTACAATGTAATGATTATGAGGTTAAGTATATAGGTCAAAGAAGCCAATCTCGATCAGTCAGAATAGGGCACAAAAAAATAGCGAAATATGCAACATCAGACACTACTAAAATAAGTGGTCTAGCTATCGCTCTCCATGCATTGACTTGCTATCACACTGTAAGATGGGATGAGGTGACAGTGCTAAGATTCAATATGCTCATTGAATCAACATCTAACAAATGTACAAGGAAAAACTCATCACATGCTGCAGATATATGGGAAATCTTACTGTCATTCAAATAAAAAAGTGAGGAACTGTTGCACTATATATAAGTGAAGTTTGAAAGTAGTGTGATTACTTTGATATGGATATAAGGAATAGACGCTGCTTGAAATATCATGCAGTAATTAATACTGTATCTCTGTGTTCTTTGTTTAATTAACGATTGAATAAGGAATTATACTCTACAAAAGTCTCAAAGTTTTAACTACGGAATCTTAATACTTACCTTTCTTTGTTTTGTATCTCTAACTGGGGCACTTATTTTGCATGAAGTATGTCCTGTCGGCGGTTTCGATTTCAGTCTACTACCGGGGTTTGTTGTTGATGACGTCCTACCGACTACAGTTCCATCAGTCCCACTTGTTAAAGCAGGATAATTTAACATTTGCTGTAATAACTCAACTTGCCCACGCCAATAATCACGATCTGCTTCAATGCCGGTTATAAACTCATCCAACTGGCTTATACGTTTACCTCGGCCATCACTTGTACCACCATGACGTTTAAGTCTTTCCAATTCAAGAACTAGGGCTCGTTCTGGACAATCAGAAAAAGTGAAGAGGATAAATTTTGAAAATGAAATATTATTATCATCTCAGATTACAGTTTCTTTTAGGTGAAATAAAGAGAATCTACTGTATCCGTATACTATTGGACAATATGAATAATAGGAGTATAACTACTTCAGTTGACAGATTTCATCACCTAGGTTTGAGTGATCGCGACATCGAATAACCATTTCACTCCTAAGTTGATTGACCTCACTACAAAATCATTCGTATTCACCATAGAGAGGTGATTTCTAAAGAATATCTGAATGTCGATGGTTGGCAATGGCAAACTCTATTTAGTTAGATAGATTGCTTAACCTACTGGTTTGTGTATGCATATTATTCAAGTTCTTTCATCATTCGTTCACTTTTCTTATTGTTCCACATTAGCAAACCTTGCAGAAATGAGTAAATATCTTGTGGTTTTGTATGTAAAGAAACTTTACTGATAGTAAAAGAGATCAGCTATAAATTAACCGGAAATATGCAAAACATCAACTAGACCGTTTAGGATATAGTAAAAGAAAAGATGGCTGTAAAAGTGTAAAGATAAGTGTGTGTGACTAAAATGCATGTTCAGTTATATATTGAATAAGCCCAAGTATTCAACTGTGATTATTTGACAACCTACATGTAACCTAGAGTGCTACCTCACTTATTATTGCTATTAACTAGTGATGTCTAGATCAAATAATAATGGAAATGATGAAACAATAGCTACATTTATGAATATTGAAAGTTTTTATAATAAGTAGCAAAAGTTTTTCTTTTTTTGCAATTTTTTTGTCTTTTGTACTAAATTAGTGTCAGTACTGTTAGTCATAAACTCTCGCTTGTGAGATTTTTTTCACCTACAGCCAGTTACAAGTCTTGAGAAGCCTTTTTAATTTTCTGTACACTTTTTTAACATTGTGTAGATTATATTAGGATTAAAAAGAGTCATGATTTTGTGCATACCAACTTTAGTAAGGTGTGTGAGCTATGGTATAAGAAGAAATCATTTTTTCATTGGTAATCTTATATTTGACGTCTTCAGCTCCTCAAAATAACTCTATTTAATTAACCTACTCCACGCTTTTAGCATACTTAGTGTAGCAATGAACAGAGAAGACATCCAACTGTCGTTGCTTAATCCACTAATCATTTCCATATTTATTATTTATTTATTTATTTTCATATTTATTAAAAGGCGAAAAGGAGAGGCCCCCAATTACTATCAATAACACCTTTTTGCCAGCCTCCAGGACAATACCATATCACATTCAATCGTACTGAAATCAGCCATGATAATACATAGTTGTGCATTAGGTTGAAGCTGTGATTAACGCTAAGCTTCCTACGGTATGATCGAAAATTATAACTGATGATAGTATAGGATGCAATATTGGAAATTCATCCTTGGAGAAAATGTGGTCAAGCCGTATTTCTTGACTTTTTCGCGATAAGATTTCCTTAAGATCTGATAAGTTGTGACCGATGGGGCAAACCAATTTGAATGTGAAGACAAGTAGTAAGCAACGCCTGTGGATGGAGGGTATGCTGTGTCGCAGACTGACAGAAGTAGGAAAATTGTGAACCATTGGATTCTGACTCAGTGACTGAAGACAGCTTGCCTGCTGCAGAAGGTGAACGTCCTTGAAAGGTCAGAGTTGCAAATAGCTGAAGAGTCACATACTAGGACGAAGCAGCTGTCCAATGCTTCTAGATTCTTAATGGTTCTCCAGCTGATGTCAGTCAGTGATGATTACCAACTTGAAAAACAGAGATGACAACATTTCGAATAACAGACATGAAGAAACTGCAAGCAGATTCAAACTAAACTTTAACTCTATCATCTAACATTTCAGATACAAGGTGACTGAATATTAAAAACCTTATTTCCTAGATAATTGGAAAAGCCAAAAATTTCTGAGGACATTCTTAACCAATAGAGGCAGTTCCGGGATTCAAAAAGTTGCTTTAGAAAGAAATGGCAATGTCTAACTTGGCGGTTCCTATTGGGCAATAGCAGACCTTCTAAATTATCCCTTAAAGCATAAGTTCACTTCTAAAAACGCAAACAGATCGGGCAATTTTTAGGTACTTTAACCTTGTAATGAAACATTCAGTAATTTGACTGACTTATCAATTTCCGATGCTTAAGTGTTCAGCGATTTGCGACCAACAGGGTTCACTTCATATATTCAAGGTTATCATATCTTTGACAAGATATGCTGCAAAAAAGATTTGATGCTTAAGTCTAACTAATTTGAGTCAAAATTCCCTAGAATGAGAAGCATAGTTTATTGTGAAATGATTGGAGAGATTTGTAGCTAAGGATGAGGATGATGGTGGTTTGACGTTCTCTGAGCTTTGACATTTTTTCTCATGAACGTTTCATCAATACGAAATACAATATCCTTATTAATCTTAAAATTTTCTCAAACTTCTACCATCTATAGTAGGATTTTGTATCGGCTATTACTAAATGATCACTTGGCTTAGTAGAAGAACCTTCGTTTATTATTTTTCATGCCCTAAAAGTAATACATAAAATTACATCTTCTTCATCAAGCTATCACATCAATTTTCACTGCATTGTTCATTCTGAACAAAAAATCTTGAAAATACATAAGACTTTGACAAACGTTCCAACACTAATATCACGTCAGTGCATCTCTGTGATGGTTGAGAGACTTGACATGTTACGAAAACCATTTCCAACAAACTGCAGACATACATCACATCAACAACTACCGCCTACTCTCACTCAACACTGAAGATCAGATCAGATCAGATGGATGACGAGAATGATAAGAATAAGCAGGAAGAAACTGTGGATGACAACGAACCAACCAAGAACCTATCAACCAACAAATATGCAGAAGGAAGTGGAGATGTATTCAATTGGATTGGATATACACTGAGAAGACGGTTTGTGGACATCACGCGTCAGGTTACGTGAGGTCGTCGAGTGTAAGCTGGATGGGAAATGACGAGTTGGGCGTCCGAGGTGAGGTTGATATGGAGGAGATGATGTGAGGAAGAAATGAGAGCTAGTGTGGAGTTGTGGAGCGAGGTTGGAAAGACTGGAGAGAACAGAGTGAGATGGTGACGTGCTACTGAATCCCTGTGCTTCACTGAGAACCCAAGGGAAAAATGGTAAATAATAAATCGAAGTGTTATTAAACTGCTAAAATTGTAACCTGATAAAGACTATGAAGTAATAAAGATAACAAAACCCTTCACAGAATTTAATAGACTGGAGAGAATCTTGAAGATGGATTAGTCCTGCAAGAATACCAACAAACTCCTACCACTGATATATAACTTGAAATATAGTCTTAACTTTTGTTGCTCAGTTAGGTCATCGATTGGTTTTCGTAATTTCGAGATAAATTCACATTATGACCTTTTTGCATAGAAGACCTGTGGCTCCTATTTCAAGGAGAGGTTGTGAAATGGATATGTGAAGATGGATGTCATCATAAAGCAACCATGGAACATTAAGCTAAACTAAATGACGGCTTTTTCTCATTCCATTTCTCCCGAACCTGGAGTGGGGCAGGTAAAAAACACCGTATCCAGAATGAAATCCTTATACTGTTGTGTCACAAACTCATCACATTTCCACTTAACCCCTAGAATGAAAATCCATCAGTCTACATTCTGAAACTCCAGTCAACTCTCAAGGTGATATGACTGTCTTCATTCACTATCTGGTTTGATTACACATATCTCAGACTTCCAGTAGTACTCGAAAATATCTATGTAAGAGTAGTTTGCTTATTATGAGTAATGTATCATCTCTAAAGCGTGTTCTCGAAGGATTCCTTAGATGATGTAACTTAGTGATGGAAGCTACTTTTAAATAAATTAGTGCTTCGAAAAACATTCAGAGAAAAACAAAGACTTCATTGGCTTAACTCTTTAACATAACCATTGTGTGGTTAACCTTTACAATCTTAGGAGATAAAAGTTGAAGATAATACAGAATCCTGCTCAGGTGCACCATCCAGGTGCTTAACTGACTGAATTGAGAGACCCAGGTACTAACAAGGATAGAGTTTTGCTTCAGTCACCTGGGATTTCGTCTTGCTGTTATCTGAATTCACGATCACCGTCGTGATATTACCTGCTCCTCCACGTCTTTTCATTACACTCCAAATCGAACTGAAATTAGGAAGAAGGAGTGATGAATTGATTACCGGTGAGATTATCTGTGTTGACCGTACTTTAACAGGCTGGTATTTATAATATACGGTAATAAAAGCCGGACAAAGCATTCAGTGACTGGACTGAAATTAGAGTTTGATCAACAACTGTGTCTCACCTTAGTGATAACAGCAATGGGTTGGTGACTTGGAAGCTGCTAGTTCTCATCAACTAACAACTTAGATTTTCATTTCATCTTCACTCATCTTCCTGTATCAAAACATTTCGAATTCCAGTGATTAAAACGTAAGTCAACTTTTTTTTGTTAATAATCATGAGATATTTAAAAATACGAATTTTTGTTTCCCCTATTTGCCGACCAAAGAGATATAGAACGGCGTGTATCCTTTACGACTGAATCGGTAAGCTGATGCCGAGTTCTGTAATGTATGACCGGTTTCAACAGACTTTTCTAAAGTTTAGAGAAGATTTTAGGTCAAGTTTACACACACACTTCACGGTAATTTTCAGTTGGCAACACGTAGAAATGAGTAAACTTAAAGTTCACCCCGGCAATTACTGAAATGACCAATGAGATTTAAGAATTTCGGATTGGAAGTGAATTTTCCATAGAATGGAAAAATATAACTGGTTACCTCAGAAGTTGTTAGGGTGGTCTTCAAAGTCCCCTTAAACGAGACAGAAGAAAATTATGAATTTCAGACCACCAAGCTAAAATAGATTGCATATATGTATACTTAAATTTAAATAAGGAAACATTTACTGAACCGAGACAAATAAAGCATTACACTACTGAATATCTTACAGCCTTTTAGGAAAAAAAACACCAAAGGAAGTGAAAATACCGTTTGCAGTTAACTTTTCAATCCGTTGAGCTAGACGCTTTTTATCTTCCTCAGCGCGTAATATCAAATTTCGCATATCACGTTCACTGTTATCCATTGTGTGGCATTCTTTCTGTGCATCTGACAGGTTACGTTCTAGATTTTCTCGTTCCTGATGTAAAAGATGCAAAGATTCGAAACAAAAAATAAACGCCACGATAATAGTCGACTAATGAATAATCATGTTGAGTAGATCATTGCTAGTACATTACAGCGTATATATATGCGAATCATCCTACTACACTCAAGACAATATATTCAAATTCAAGTCTGAGGAGGTTCATATATTTGAAAGACGCTGTGTGATATGTTTTTTTATTGTGTCTAGATGATGAATATACAATGTGTATTTCCTTCCTTTTCTAATCCAGTAGTTTGATATATTGTCATATGTGTTACTGATCCTCGTAGAACTCACTTCTTTTACAGATCACTCTAAACACTCTCTGAGCTATTTATCGTGGCTACCTACCACTCATCGACTGACTGTCACTTGATTCTTGGACTTGATCATCCATGTATCGATGGAGAGGACGGAATTATCGTCATTATACTCACTATCACTACATAGTTAAATGATGTCCTCAGGAAGCAGTTGATGTGGGTTCCATGTATTTTAAAAGCTCAGATTTCAAAGAATCACACAAAATCTTTATTTATATAACATAATTACACCACTGACCATCTGTTTCTTGAATGATTGAATGATCCCACTACTGGCAGTAACACTAGATGAAGTGGCTGCGGGTGTTGATAAAAGTATCATTTTTTCGAAAAATCAAGATTTACTGTGTTGATGAGTGCTAGTCAACACCAAATCCTGTAAGAACTTGAGCCTCCTGCTTTCAAAAGTCAGGTATTAGGTTCACTGAATCTGTATATACCCTATTCTCATAAAAGCAAAGGATCACTAAAGATATACTCAAACATTTCCAATAACTGTATCTAAGTGTCTTATATGCTTCAAGAATATCACTTTCTTAACAATCTAGAATAGTTTATACAATGTCTTTGTAAATGATCAAGTATTTTAGCCCCTCATTGTAATTACTTTTGGTCATATTAACTGCACATTTCCAGAAAGACTACACTTAAATAACAACCATCTATTAACACCTACTTACCAGACTGAGACAATATAAACATTGATTGAGTCATTTGAGTCAAAATAACTGAATCTTTACCAGCTAACAAGATACGAAAGGCATATTTAAAGTGTTAATTGATTACTTTCAATATTCATAATCTGATACGAATAAGTCAAGCCAAAATTGTTTTGTAATAGTAACTTGAATGTTTAGGAAAAGTGTACTTATATCTGGGTAAACTACATGCTCAACAAGTGTTACTTCAGTTCACAAATGACTCCCCATAATCGACCACTGACTATTCATGGCCAAAATAGCAAACTCAATAAGTGACTATATTCCCAACATACTACAGTCACGAGAACAGCAGCAGTGACCTATAAACTAAGATATGACCGGAAAGATATCATATCAAATAGGGAGTGGTCAGTGGATGGCAATATGGAAGTTAGCAGTCAGTCAATAAATTTTGACCAATCAGAGTATGACCACTTTTTACGCTGTTACAAAATGTCTGGTAAAGTTCAATTTTCACATTACCTATATCTAATGAGACAGGGTTTATCTATATAGTTTCAAACTACTGATATCAAATGGTAGTATCCTCTACATATATGACCTGATTTTCAACTAGGGTATCAGGTACTGAAACCCAGCTCTACCTACTTAGATTCTAGTAACCATGGTGTGTCACCTGCAGTCCCTGTATAGTAGTAGTGATTCGTAATCGAGTGAACAAGAAAGAGCATGAACTCTAACTGAACTGCATTATTTATCTTATAGTTTATGCTTGTGACACTATAACTGGCGGCTAACAAAATGTACTTTAAGGAATGCATGTTATTCTACCCAAGGTAAGTAAAGGCAGATGTCTCTTAGCTTTTACACTACCATGTTTGATGCCATATGTTGAGAGCTGATCGGTACCAGACTATAATCCTATATTCCATCCTTGATTACACATGTGAAGAATGTTTTTCTAAAACCTTGAAGGGACTCATGTCCCCTCAAAGAGTAGACGTCAAGGTCACTTACTTATGGGGCCATAAATTTTATCACTAACCTACTAAAACCACATTGACTGCTCACTGGACAGCAACAAACTTCATGTTGTTTAGTCCTAAGTTCAGACTGAATTCTATTAATCATTTTGTGTAGTGTGACCACCATGCTAAGAAGTCCACTGTCGCGGTGCACTCTGATAAATGTTAGTTAGTTTGACGCAGCCGGTAGGAGGCTTTATGACTTCTTTTAAGATCGGTTTTTCACACACAGGTTAGTAATAGAATGATAACCAACGTTTCTGGTAAAATCTTAGTATTTCCAGTTATTATTCCTCGTAGATTGACATCAGTTGGAGGAACAAAAGAGACCTGGGAGCACTGGATAGCTGTTTCATCCTGGTATGCGACTCCTCAGCAGTGCGCACCCAAAAGCCCCAACTGGGATGGGACCTGCAACCTTCAGGTTCCAAGGCTAGCACGTTACAATTGAGCCACTCGGTCATAATCCAGTGGTCCATATTCCCAACTTGTGTTAGCTCACGATATAGTGCAACCGCCACCCAATGTCATCGTTTAGTAACTATCCTCATGACCATCAAGCTTTGCCCCCACCGGTCACGACTTCTCATTGGAACTTCGGGAATACTTCTAGAATCTAGTCAACAGTTCAATTGGATTTTGTGAAAGTTGTAGGGATTTAGAAATATTCCAAGTTATTATTCATCGCAGACCGATATCAGTTGGCGGTTGCGCTATATCGTGAGCTAACACAAGTTGGAAATATGGACCACTGGATTATGACCGAGTGGCTCAATTGCAACGTGCTAGCCTTCGAAACTAAAGGTCGCAGGTCCGATCCCTGGCGGGGTCATGGACGCGCACTGCCAAAGAGTACCTTACTAGCAAGAAACAGCTGTTCAGTGCTCCCAGGTTTCCTTTGTTCCTCCAACTGATGTCAGTCTACGATGAATAATAACTTGGAATATTCCCAAATCCCCACAACTACTTTAAAAATCTTAGTAGTCATCAAATTTTTGTCGATGTAGTCAAATCTTTTGGTATACCGATCATTCTATAAAAGATAAACATCAACGTATTAACCTTTCCTCAGCAACATTGATCGTGAAAACAACGCTATTTCATTTAATACAGCTAATATCTACATTCATTTGGCCAAAATACCAATATTCAGACGTTTCGTCGCACCGTCAAATTTGCTTCTTCGGAGAATAAAACTTGTATAGGTTATCTGATATTTAAATAGTAGATGGCGACAAATCAGATCACGTTGTTCTCCACTTATTATTTAAACATAGGATACATTTTACAGATTTTATTTAGTGAAGAAGCAGCTTCCACGAGGTTACGAAGCGTCAGATATTTATTTATCTAACTCTGTAGGATTTTGCAAATATATCCTGTTAAACTACTGGTTTCGAAACCGATAGTTGACATTCCTGGTTACCTTTATCATATTAGGCATTGGTTCCCTTATTACCAACGAAGCTCAAAACACCAAACTAGCCTATTTGGTCAATGATGTAAGATGTTAGGATACTTGTAAGTGAACGATGGTCTCATTTTATCATAAACTGACAAACATTGGGAAACATGCGTCATTACATTGAAGGAGGAAGACTCTCATTCTGAAACATGACTTTCTACCAGCGATTATTACCTCATGGTTTGAAGTGATAATTGCTGAGTTCTACTTCTAGCGGGAATACTCCTTTGGTTTTGAACATGAGTAAACTCTTATGAAAGGTCCTGAAATTAATAAAACAAACACCTGATATTGTCTTGGTGAGAAATAATCAACTGCCATCATAATGTAGACAGTGGTATTTTCAACATTCGTATGTAAACGGATCGTTTGTCTGTACAAGCTTATTACATAGACTGATTAATTCGACAAAGCATGCGTTACAAACAGTATTAATAGATTGTAATGATTTAGTTACCATAGACCCCGGATAGTCCACGTATTCAATTTATATGCACGACAGGCTTTGATAGAAATAAAAGATATTGGTAACCATCCAACCACTAATCGATGTTAGCTATCAAGTTTCACAAGCGGTTAGTCTTAACTTGAATAGCTAACTGGTAAGGCCTCTGACTGCACTAATGAATAACCTAAATTGGAATTTTAGGAGGAACTCTGTAAGGCTACAGGTACACTTAGTGGATGATTGCAATGTGCACGAGACCTAGAATTAGAGCTTACGGTCAGCTGAATAACAACATTTAAAGCCAAAATTATTGCATTACACAGCCTCACAAAACTACTTGGTAGCCACAGTAGAAGCTTGATTACAAACCTTCAGTCTTTACAAAGTACATTTTCATAGGTTACAGTCGAATTTTGTGTATAACCGTCACCCTTAGTGCTATCCACTTATTCTATGGCATTATTTTCAAACTGTTAGAATTTACCATGGATAGGATACAATTGAAAGAGAGAAACATGTGGGAAATAAAATTTAACGGAAGAAATAAACTCTCCTTTCAACCAGTTTCTCCACTGTTGAAGAGATGGACAGAGATACCAGTGGAAAATTCAATCTAGCTGATATTCCACTTGGATGACATACTAAAACATGGTGAGTCTACGCTACTGAAGGAATGAATCAACGCTTCTTATTTGTTAGTCAACTTTCAATGCTGATTGAAAGTTCACTCATTCAATGTTTCAATTAAACTAGGCTTATACAGTAACAGTCTTTAACATAGTGTGGGTTCTCTTTAGGTTTGCTATATACCATGAAGATATACCATATTGAATTAGTCTATTTTATGTAGTCCACAAAGATACAGTATTATTTACTAGATAACAGAAGCCCCAGCCATGAGATAATCAGTGTATCCAGTAGTAGGAGATATTTTTTTCTGGACAGTTGGGAACACACAGCTATTTGAACATTCAGTCCTACCGAAAAAGTACAATGGAAGCATATGGATGACACATTTACCGTGTTGAAATTTTGAACAGTACCCATAGCTTCTTCGGATACATAAAC